CTGTTTGTTTAATCTCTGCTGAGCTCTGCCACAAATGGGCCTTTTGTAGGAAAACAACTGTTCCTTGGTGCTTAGCAGACGGCAAATTGGAAGAGGGCACATTTTACATGTTTTTGGCCATTAAGAGAGCTGAGTTTTTTAAAGGGTTTTATTTTTTATTGTTTGTGGATTGAGATTGTGACCTTAATAGTCTCATACATTAAGCTTGCATTTTACCTTCACTTTTTCCTTTCTTTTTCCTCCTCTCCTCTCTTTTCTCTCTTCTTTTTTCTCTTCTCCCTCCTCCCCTTCCTTTTTCTCTCTTCTCTTCTCTTCTCTTCTCTTCTCTTCCCTTCCCTTCCCTCCCCTCCCCTCCCCTCCCCTCCTCTATTCTCCCTTTTTCTTCTCTCTCCTCTCCTCTGTTTTCTCTCTTCTTTTTTCTCTTCTCTCCCCTTTTTTTCTCTCCTCCCCTCCCCTCTTTTTCCTGCTCCTTTCCTCTCCTCCATTCATGCAGAAGGAAACCATATTCTGTCTTTAAGTGGAGATTCCAGGGTCATTTAGACCTGTTCATACAACTACTATACTCACCTGATCCTTTTAGATCAAGGCCCTAGACTTCGCCATAATGGGAGCCTCTGACTTGTTCTTTAGAAAGACATACCCTTACCTAGGAAAGAAGGTTTCCTTAAAAGCATTCAATCAAAGCCAAACCTAAGAAAGACCAGGCTTAAAATGCTTCCACCACTACTGCTTAACTCTCACAACACCAATACACTTGCTCTGGAGTGTGGCCTCCGGGGATGAGTCAGGAATAAAGCAACTGACAACAACTTTTAAGTATTTTATTGGTCTCCAGGAATTGCTAATAAAGAAATCGTTGATGAAGGGCAAGAGTAATATAAGTTCTACGGACACAGTTGTGGTGAATTACTTTCATAATTTAAGAAATTCTTTTTTTCTGGCACCTTCCTAACGGGCTAATGGGCTGTCCATATTTATGACCTTCAATAGTTCTTGGCAAGTATAAAAGTTGCTGCCTTATGCGAGTTACAAATTATTATTTTAACACTAGGTTGTTAAAGTTTAATTTGTTTTACAACTTATTCATGAAAAGTGTATTTCGTTTAATAATACTGTCTCTACTCCAGGTAGTCCTTGACTTAACAAACATCCATTTAATGACCATTCAAAGTTATAACTGCAAGAAGTGGTTTAAGAGTTAAATGATCATCAGAACATTAGTATTTCCTATATTATTATTAACACGCTCTGATGCTAAGGAATTCTACTCCCCCTCCCCACCTGAAAAGAAATCTGTTCCAAATGCAAAACACAAGCAGAGGAGAGGAATCAGGGAAGCCATCGAAATAGAGAAACACCCCCATAACATGAATAAATGGGACGATGCCTCCCGCCTACCAGACATCTGGAAACTAGCCCTTATCAACAAACGAGCCCCAGCCACGAAAAACAACACCGGACCCAAAACAACACATGATACCACCACCATTCTCCCTCACCAGACTCAAACCCAAGCCCATCCCATAGACGAAAGACAACCACCATCCAGAAACCAAACCACGGCTGCATCACCAGCTGCCACACACCCCGACCCCCAAACCAAGCAAACGGACACATGCCATGAACACATATCCAGGCCTCAAACTCGGAGCCAAACAAAAACCCAGAACGTCACATCACAACCACCCGCTCAGGATATCACATCACAGAACTCAGGAGGTTACACCACAAAACCTCGGGATGTTGCAACACAGCCAACGACCTAGGAGATTACAGCACAAGACCCAGGATGTCATAACAATAGAACTCAGAAGGTCATCACACAGCCCATGACCCAGGTCATTACGACCCAGGAGATTACAGCACAAGACCCAGGATGTCACAACAATAGAACTCAGAAGGTCATCACACAGCCCATGACCCAGGTCATTACGACCCAGGAGATTACAGCACAAGACCCAGGATGTCAAAAGAATAGAACTCAGAAGTCATCACACAGCCCATTACCCAGGTCATTACAACACAGGAGGCTGATGGACACACAGCCAATACCTCAGCCACACATGTTCTTACGAAAAAGCCAGCCAATCTGCAAACATCAACTACATCAACCAATCAAGAAATGACAACACAGCCAACCTCCTCACCAGTATATATAGGGAGACGGCAGTTCCGATCACACTTTGCTTGAACAAGCACGAAGCCGAAAGCACCAGCCTGAAGATGGCGAGTGGGACCTCGTCGAAACGTTGCCAAGATGCTCTCAATCTTACACGGGAAAAGACCCGAATATGCCAAGACCTGCATGTATGTATGTATGTATGTATGTATGTATGTATGTATGTATGTATAGAAATAATAATGTCTGTTGTAGCATTTTTCAATAGGAATTGTATCTTGTGCTGATTTGGCCACTGATTCAGTAGAAAAATAAAATATACAGATACGGAAAAGCTGAGCATTTGTGGAGAAAAATTAACGTAATGCACAATGTGTTTTATTCCTCATTCTACATGGTATTAAAAAGGGGTTTATTTTCACGATTGGAAAGACTTGTCCCATTTAAAATATTCTAATGCAGTTGGCAAGTAAGTGATAAATGTAGGTTAATTAATCTGTCTTTTGTAAAGACATTCCTTCAATGGGTTGTGTGTACAATGAGTGTACGAGAGGCTCATTTTATGAAACCAGCCTTTTTAGCATTTCCTGTTACGGCGTTCAGAACCACTTTGAAAAACTGGCTACTGATGTTAACGTGGGTGCCTAAAAGCCACTTGAGGCTGGATTTTGAGAAACAACTGCCCCCAATTACACAAACTGGATTAGGATTTCTCTTTACGTGCCTCAGAAATTTGTCTCAGGGTGCCTCTAGAAATGTTGGGTATGTATTCTCTGATGGAGAGAGAGATACAGTAAATAAATTCCACTATACGGTGGTGAACTTAATCTCAGAGATAACATTGCTATTGCGCTAGTTTTAAATCGGGAATTGTATTCTTGCGGTTAAAAATAATCCATCCTCTGTTCATATATGTGTCATTTTTTTCCCACCCTTCACATATCGTGTGCTTCACAAGCAGAACTCAAAATGGGTTTTTAAATGAATGTAATGTGGGAGAAAAGTTAGCTGTGTGCTGCTTTGAGCTGCTGGAGCAATGGCAGATGTCCGAGGAAATCATGGGATGGGACGTTGCCTGGATTCCCAGGAGGGAAGGAAAAAGAACATTCTAGAGCAGGAAGAGACAACGCAGTTGTGTGAGCGAAAGAGGGTGAGGACATCTCCTCCCCAATTGTTCCCAAACTACAGGTAGTCCTCGACTTGCGACACCAATTGAACCCCCCAACATTGTTGTTAAGTAAGACATTTGTTAAGTGAGTTTTGCCCCATTTTACGACATTTCTTGGCACAGTTGTTCAGTGAATCACTGCAGTTGATAAGCTTAGTAACCAGTTGTTAAGTGAATCTGGCTTCCCCATTGACTTAGCTCGTCAGAAGGTCGCAAAAGGGGATCACATGACCCGCGGATACCACAACCGTCATAAATATGAACCAGTTGTCAGCAATCTGAATTTTGATCACGTGACCATGGGATGCTGCAATGGTCATAAGTGTGAAAAAATGATCATAAGTCACATTTTTTTCCGGTGCTGTTGTAAATTTGAACAGTCATTAAATGAACTCTTGTACGTCAAGGATTTCCTGTATGTGCTTTATGGGGCTGATAGCCTGCTTTAGTTTGGCAAGATTCTGTCTATAAGTGAGGAACGGTAAAGAGATCTGCCTTTCTTGGTTTTTGGAGCCTGACCTACATGATGATGTATAAAATTCTTTAAGGTCTAGGTCAGTGATGGCTAACCTTTTTGGGCTCTTGTGCCAAAAATTGTGTGCTCGTGTGCCAGCATCCAGAAGGCAATGCGTGCGCAACCCCCCCCCCCACACACACACCTACACTGCACTTCCCCGCTGATTTTCGGCCTGTTTGAGGCCTTTTTTGGCCTCCAAGAGGCTTGAGGAAAGCTTCTGCAGGCTTTGCAGGCCGAAAAATGAGCCCATTTTGTCACTTCCGGTATTTCTGGAAATACAGGAAGTGATGAAACGGGCCTATTTTTCGACCTGCAAAGACTTTTCTCAAGCCTCTGGGAGGCCAAAAAAGGCCTCAAGCAGGCTGAAAATCAGTGGTGAGGTATGCGCATGCGCAGTGAGGTAAGTTTGCGTGCGGCTCACGTGCCAGCACAAATGGGTCTGCGTGCCATAGGATCACCATCACGGGTCTAGGTGTAAATGAGACATAAGTCACTTAAAATAAATTTCTTCTGCTTAACCTGAAAATAAACGTGTCCCTTTTACCAAAATTCATGTTGTCTGTTCACCAGCAATTTACTACTCTTGTTCTAGCAGTGCTTGATTGTTTATTTATTGAACTTCTGTTGCACAAAATAGTATTTATCATTTTCTTTTTTCTTTTTTTATATGGTTCCCCTTAGCAAACAATGTTGTATATGTTTTTGTGGCTTAGAATCTATGCCAACAGTTACAGCTGATAAAACGAGAGCTAACAATGCCGTAAAAATTCTTCTCTATTATTAGGCTTTACTGTATTACACGACTGCATTCCTCTTAGAAGCTCAGCAGATTGGAAAAAAAAGGAACAAGTGTCAGAAAATTGTGTACATTCCTGTATCTTAAATCTTACTCTCATTTGGCTCCAAGTTACACGGCCAATTTTTAATCAACAATAACTCTGGTCATTTGTTTCTGAACACAACTAACCAGTTGGATAGCTAATACTAGAATACTTTTTCCCCTCCCTGTATAACTCGTCCCTACTTTTGGAAATAAGTGGTTCATGGTGTGTATGTGTTTATTATGGTTTATGTAAATACATGGGAAAAAGTTGTAGAAGAAAGTAGAGAAAAATATTCCTTTTGAAGTACACACTACATGGAAAGAGGTTTTGGAGCCGTTAAATAAGTAACAATTTAGAATATTTTAATTATAGAGACTGAGGAGGTTGTCAACAAAATATAGAACAGAAAAGATCTACCCAACCATCACTGGGGAGAAAGAAGAAAATGTGAAAAAGAACAGATATAAGGATATACTGCCATGTAAGTCTGAATCTCTTTTCTTTTTAATAACTTTTCTATCTTTCTGTTAACCTTTACAGTGTTGTACGTAGGTGAATTAGTTGGTAATTATTTATAGAAAAGAATATTTTTTCCTAAGATGTTCCATCTGACTGAATTAATCCTTATTTTTCTGTTTGCCATGTTTGCATCTTCTATTTAAATACTCTAGTGGTTTTTTTTAAATATTAAGTTTCATAGCGAAACTAATGTAGCAAAACTTTTTTTTGAATCATCAAATATTGGTAGATATGCCCACCTAGTTTCAAAAAGTCACATTTCTTACAACTTAGGGAAAAAAGAGAGAAAAGCTGGAATGAATATTCACTGTGCACAGTATATAGTTTCTGATCGTATTTTATTTGAACGTACGTGATATTTAAGTGATAACTTCAAAGAAAGCAAGAACCACATTTGTGAACGTTTCACTAGAATGAAAATGAAAGTTTAAATATATAGGTAATAATTTCTGTTCTGTAGTATTGGCATTTTAAATAATGACGCTTGCCTTGTTTTTCTTGGCTGCTTTTTATCTTCTAAATGCAAAAAAATAAAGAACTATCTCTCTTCATTGCCTGTTGTGGCAGTGAAGTCCTTGACTTATGACCAGCCTTTTAATGACTATCCAACTGTTACAATGTCCTTGAAAAGATTATTGTACAAGCTTGTAAAGCGCTTCCAGCTGTCATAACGTGGCACGTCCTTACAATGTTATGATTTGCATCTTTACAGCCGGTTGCCAAGAAGGTTTGTAATCTTCTTTAGTGACTTCCCCGGAAGGTCAGTTGGGATGCCAGCACAGGGGAGGGAGCGGAGCTGAAATTTCCCATGGGTTGCAGGAATGGAGCTGAAATCTTCAGCCTGCTGCCACATAAAGGATTTCCCTTCATGCACAAGGAATGGGGGGAAACTTACTGTGGGGATGCAGGAACAGAGCTGAATTCCTGAAGATTTTAGGTCTGTTCCTGTAGCTCCTCCCACCCTCCCAAAAGATTTCCCATCTGTGCACGGAAGAAAGGAAATGAGGCTGTAGCAACATTTAAGATCAATAGGGCTGCCTGCTGGAAGGATTTCAGCTCCACATGGAGTTGAAATCCTTTGGCAGCAGCACTTCATCGGATTCATGACCTGGGAGACAGCTTAACAACTGCAACCAGAAGGGCCGGGATTGTGGTTGTTGAGCGAAGGAGTCACGTGTCCGTTTTGCCTAACCGTTTCTTTGCTCCATGGCTGAGATTCCGGTCTCAATCATATGTGTAATTTGAGGACTATTGGCACTTACACCTAGGTAAAGGAATTGAGTTGTTATTTAAGAGGACTGCCTATCGTTGGTATTTCTTTGCTAGCTTGCAATGTCATTTTTTCTCCCCAAAATCTGTTGTCTTTCAGTTGATCACAGTAGAGTTAAACTGACGTTAAAAACTCCCACCCAAGATTCTGACTACATCAATGCAAATTTTATTAAGGTATGTAATCATTTTTTTACCTTGGGTAACGTGTGTGTGGTTCAAAAGACTTGACTTAAATTTCTCCCTGGAGATCCATTTTTGGTATGGAAATATTGTGTGTGGTTGAGCTTGAATGCTAAGAAGCTAACCCCTCCCCTCCAAAAATACCCAAAACAAGTAAAGATGACCCCCGTAAACCATTAGTTCAGGAAACAATAATTGCCAAACTAATAGAGCAAAATTAGTCACAAAACCAAAGAAAACAAAATCTCTAATTTTAGCGATGTGCAAACAACCTGTTTAACTGACTGTGGTAACTTGGAACTGAATAAGAGGCTTTGGTTAAGAGATTTGAATATATTAGTAAATGAATAACAATCAGCTATTAGCATGTGATATGTTTGTTGCAAAGTACAAGCAAATTTTGAAACCTTTTTATTTCTGCCTTTGGAAATATAACACGTTAATCAAGAATTAACATATAATTCTTCTAGAAGGCAGAAGTAAATTAATGTCATTTGTTCTGTTTGTTTATATTGCAGAAGCAATCATGTGTATTATTCCTGCAATGGAATAGGATCCCCAAAGCAGCTTATTATTTTTCTCTAACAATTTTCTTAAGAATTATAAATGAAAAAAAAATCAAAGCAAATACTAATTACTGGTACTATAAAAATGCAAACAATAAAATACAAAAGAAAGTGTAAGAAAAAAGAAAGTGTAATTTTCCCCTTTACCCCGTAAGTAAATACAATTTTAATAGCATATCATCTCTAAATACAATACAATCTCTCAAAATAAATAAATAGATTATAATAGAATAGAATAAAATCCAATCCAATCTCTCTTCACCCCATAGCACATCTTTTAAGTAAAAAAACAAATCTAAACATTTTGTCAATCATTCATTGTCAGTAAAATGCAGTAATACATAATTTTTTTCTTTTAGCCCTGCTTGAATAAGCTGACTTTGTATTCCTTCTCAAAGTTTTTAAGGATCTTATTTTTTAATCCCTTCAAAAAAAAAAAAAGTCCCAGAGCTCTAGGTTTTCTGTTCATTTGTTTTCTTAAGCGAGAAATCATTCAGAATGTTAACATTCCTTTTCGTGTATCCAGTATGTAAAAAAATTCATTTTGCTTGTTATTCTTCAAGATTTTAACAGAAATCTTTTGTTTATCCGGTAAAGAAAGTTATCCAACTCAGTTTCCTGGTTCACTAGCAATGCATCTCCTTTAGGGAATACCCTACGTCATCCATCAGGTCCATTTGTGTATCTATGAGCAGCTTATATAATGGAAAATAGTTATTATGGGTTAGATTTTAGGGCTCTGGATCCTTGCATCGGTAAGCGCCTTTCCCTCAAAACCAGATTAGGCGATTCTTAATAGCGTCCCGTGTCCTTTAAATGAAATCTCAAAATTGGATGTTGGTTTTGTTGACTTTTTAAAAAAAATAAACTTTCAACTTTGGGAAAAGGAGGCCAATAGGAAGAGAGATCAGTTAAAGAAAACAATTCCTACGTTTTGCAGTCTGCAGCTGGGGGTGGGGTGGGGAACCATAATGCTCCCTGAGCATTTGGGCTGTAAACAGTGCTTTTTTTTAATGTGAGGGTTTGTTATGAACTTGTATTTTCATTAATAAAAATTGGTATTTGTCTAGGATTTCTTTACATGCTCCTTTTGGTTTGAAAAGGAGAGTTTGTTGACATTTTGCATCCATTTTTAAAAATTGAGCTACTTTTGATCGCATCTAGCCTGTTTCCCCGAAAATACAACCTACCCTGAAACTAAGTCCTAGCTTGATTTTTACATGTGTAAAAATCACCCCCCAAAATAAGCCCTAATTGAGATCCCACCCACTCCAGAGTGGACGTGTAAAAAGCTACGGTGGGGATGGGGGGTTGTGGAGCTGCCCTACTACTTACCTTTGGACAGTTGTAGCCAGGCCTCACACACCCCGACACCTGCCCTGTCTTCTGCAGCCAGTAAGGCTTTCCTAAAGGCTCTGTGGCTAATAACAGAGCTCCAGATCAATCTGTTATTGGCTGCAAAGGCCTTCAGGAACGTTCAGAAGAAGCTCCTGAAGGCCTCTGACAGCGAAAAGGAGGCCGGGGGCGACGCACACAAGTGAGGCGTCTTTTTTGGTGGCAACCCCCCCCATAAGACAGGGTCTTATTTTTGGGGAAACACGGTATCTTTGGAACAATCTTGTTTGGACCTTTTTATGCATAAGAGCAATCTTCAAATGCACCTGGGTCTGTAATAATACTCCTGTGCGTGTTGCAATTTCAGGGAGTACATGGACCAAAAGCGTACGTTGCAACCCAGGGACCACTAGCAAACACAGTCCTTGATTTCTGGAGGATGATATGGGAGTACAATGTGGCAGTAAGTATCTTAAAAACAGATTGCTCTTGACTTAACAACAGTTCAAAGTTACAACGGCGCTGAAAAAAGTGACTTACGCCCGTTTTTCACAGTTGCGACCTTTACGACCATCCCCCACGGTCACCTGATCAAAATTCAGGACCCCCCCCTTGGCGACTGACTCATATTTATGACGGTCACAGCATCCCTGTGGGGGAAAGTATCACATGAATCCCCTTTTGGCGACCTTCTGACAAGCAAACTCAACGGGGGAGCCAGATTCACTTTGGCAGCCGTGTCCCTAACTTAACCGCAGTGATTCGCTTTACAACGGTGGCAAGAAAGGTCGCAAAAATGAGGCAAAACTCAATTGCCTTAAAAAAATTAGTTGCTTAATTTGCTTAGCAAAGGAAATTTTGGGCTCAATCATGGTCGTAAGTCCCAGGACTTCCTGTGGCTTTTAAGTCCATAGGGCTGAAATTTACATTGGAAGCTTCGGTTGAGTCTGTCATCTGCACCTCTATAACTCTCTGGTTTGGTTCTGCAACCCAACAGGACAGACACAGACTTCAGAGAGTAATTAGGACTGCAGAAAAACAGTTACTACCAACCTGCCTTCCATGGAGGACCTGTATCCTTCATGAATCAAAAAGAGGGCTGTGAAAATATTTACAGGTCTCTCACATCCTGGACATAAACTGTTTCAACTCCTTCCCTCAAAACGCTGCTATAGAGCCCTGCACACCAGAACAACTAGACACAAGGACATTTTCCCCCTGAACACTATCACTCTGCTAAACAAATAATTCCCTCAATACTGTCCAACTATTTACAAAGTCTGCACTACTATTACTATTAATCGTCCCATCACTCTTTATCACCCATCTCCTCTCACTTATGTCTGTATGACTGTAACTTTGTCGCTCGTATGCTTAGGATCTATATTGACTGTTTCCTAGTATGATTTGATTGCTTATTGTATCCTATAACTATCATTAAGTGTTGTATCTGATGATTCTTGATTCTTGACGAATGTATCTTTCCTTTAATATACACTGAGAGCATTTGCACCAAATTCTTTGTGTGTCCAATCACACTTGGCCAATAAAGAATTCTATTCTATTCTATTCTATTCTATTCTATTCTATTCTATTCTATTCTATTCTATTCTATTCTATTCTATTCGCTGATACAAAATGCAACCTACCCCACATGTATTGTATTGGCAGAGAATTTTGGCAATGTTTTGTATACACATTTGGTTTTTTTCCCCTTTCCTCCCCAGATCATTGTAATGGCCTGTCGGGAATTTGAAATGGGAAGGGTATGTATGAATCCCATTCGTTTCCTTGCCAAATTTGCTACGGGTGAGAATGAAATTAAAACTCAATGAAATGGTTTGATATTTACTTAGTGACAAAAAAAATCCCTAGAGAAGACCACAATTAGTTTATTAACTTCATTTACTGGTGTCTCAAGAGTCTGTTTTAAATCAAATAGCATTGAGTATTTTATTGTGCTGCGTAAATCAACCAGTTTATAAACATTTGTAAGGCTGAATTTTCAGACGCCAAGGCCAATCCTAACACTGCTCTGAAATTTCAAGTTTCAGAAACATTTAAATGTGAATAAACCAATAAAGTAGACTGTGAACTAAAAAGATTAGGAGGGTTTTATCCAGTTAAAGTCTAAAATGTATGCGTTTCAAAGTGTGCATATTTTAAAAAAACTGTTCATTCTATTATCAGAAAAAATGTGAACGCTACTGGCCGCTGTATGGAGAAGAAAGCATCTCATTTGGACCATTCCACATTTCTTGCGTAAGTGTTTTTATGATCGGTTGCCTTTTAATGAAGTTGTAATTTGTGCTTAATGTGCATAGTTGTGTGAACATTGAACACATAAACCTGTTTTGCATTCTTCTGCAGTTACATGAATTAGTCACTCGTGGCTCTGAAGTGCTTTTACTTTGAATAGATTAATGAGAAACAAAAGCATGGTTTTTTTTAAGACTTGGTGATGCTACATCGATACCTTGTTCAGACAATAAATTAGAATAAAAATGTGTGATTAATAATGGAGCATTTTCCCTCAAAATTATACTTCAAAATAAATTGTATCTTAACCTTATTCAGATTATAGTTCAACAAGAAATCATGCTATGGGTATCTCTTGACATTTCCCTTCTTGTCAATTTTGATGCAATTAGATGATTGGCAGATCTTCCTCCCTCCCTCCCTCCCTCCCTCCCTCCCTCCCTCCCTTCCTTTCTGCCACAGTTTGATGTTTTGCACAAACCTGGATAGACTGGTCAATCTGAGCAAAATTTACTGCTGCTTCCATCAAGCTTTATAAATCAGGGTTTGTGGTTGACTTTTTGGCGAGTGTATGTAAGGCTAAGTAAAATTGGGTGAAATTTTAATCTGCCCTCTCTCTGTTTAGGAAGCTGAACAGGTCAGAGAGGATTACTATATTAGAACCCTGCTGATCGAATATCAGAATGTAAGTAGATAAAACACTCTTTCCCCAATCAAGCTAAACGTGATATGATGCTTATTTTGAATAGTTTTGTTTTTGACAGTTTTTGGCACTTTAATAGAACAAAGGAATGGCTCTCGGTTTGGGAGAGTCGGCAGGTAAATTCTGTTTAGCTTAAATTAATGAGAATTTGAGGATTTAGGAATCTTCAGAAGTTGTGAGTACTCCATCACTGGAGGCTTTTAAGAGAAGAGACTGGACAGCCATTTGTCTGGAATGGTCTAGGGATCTCCTGCTTGAGCAGAAGGGGTTGGACTAGATGACCTCCAAGGTCCCCTCCAACTCTGTTATTCTGATGGTCTCAGACCCCTGACAAAAGATTAAAATGTTCCCTTTTTGTTCTTTGTTACCTGTTAGGTTTTTTTTTTTCTTTTTCGTTTTTATAAGCAGTTGTGCTTTTAGCTGTGCAGTGTCCCCCTTTTCAGCTAAAGGAAGTCCGAGAATAGGGCAGTGAGCTGTTTGACTTACTTATGTCCGATAGTTTGGAAGGACTAATGTAAAACATCCCATTTTTCATTCGGAAACAAGGCAGGAAGAGTCTGAGCAAACTGTTTTTAGCTAAAGAAAGGCTTAATGACTAGCAGTAATAGCCTTAGGGCAAAAAGCCAGTGTTAGTCACTGGTCTAATAATAAGAATGAAAAGCCCTAGTCAACAGCAATGGGGAGATGGTTCTTGATCCCACAAGGGTGATGGAAACAGAGCTTCCAAATCACGCAGAAGGTTCACATCAGCCATCTGGATCCTTTTTGGGATCTTGGCTTTCAGACAATATGCCTTCCGTTACTTATTTTTTTGCATTTAAGGGGTGTTTGTTGCCATGTGAGGCCATCCGATGCCTTTTCCAACTGGATTTCCCTTTGTGATCAGCTCTAAAATCCCTTGGAATCCGGACTAAGCTTGCTGTGGGTTTTGCAAATAGGATTTGGATCGTGTGTGGGTGTGTCCAACCTTGGCCAACTTTTAAGACCTGTGGACTTCAATTCCCAGGATTCCTCAGCCAGCATGAATTCTGGGAGTTGAAGTCCACAGCTCTTAAAGCCGCCCTTGATTTTAGATTTTTGATCTTGCAGATTTCCAGTGCATTAAAATCTAAAGTCTACAGAAGTTGAACATTAAACCTTGTACTTTTACCAAACGCAAGGTTATTTTTCCCCCCAAGTGCAATTCTTTATTTTCTTTAAAGTTTTAATTGATTTTCTATTAAATAACATTTCTTAGTGCTTAATCAAGGGTCTTCAAACTTGGCAAGTTTAAGACTGGTGGACTTCAACTCCCAGAATTCCTGAGCTAACATGACGGGAGGAGGAATTCTGGGAATTGAAGTCCACAAGTCTTAAAGCTGTCAAGTTTGAAGACCCCTGTATAAACATCGTGTTATCTGGGTATTCAATTTAATACAAATTTACATGCTTAATCTCCACCCCTTTTTTCCAACCATTGGTAAAATAAATTCCATATTTGATTATATTCTACATCTCCTTTCTGTTTAATTTTCAATGTAATAATTTATCCATTTCTGCACAATCTAGTATCTTCCTGACTATTTCTTCATCTGGTGGTATATCTTCATTTTTAATTTATTTTGATAGACTATTGCATAGTAGTATCCTAAATAAATAAAGGTATATAAGTTGGAAAGTTGGATTGCTTTAGGTTCTGCCTTTTCTCCCATTATTGTAAAACTCAATAGAAGCTCCAGTAGGTCTTCCAAATAGACCAGTCTTAGCAATTCACGCAAATATATTTATATGAGTTCCTTTAGTGTGGTACAGTTGCTCATCACTAATGAGAAATGTGAGAAAAAGCAAATTCTCATAAGGAACAGTTTTATAAATAATGCAACATTCTTCTTATCGTTTTAGGAATCGCGTAGAGTACATCAGTTTCATTATGTAAATTGGCCTGATCATGATGTTCCTTCATCCTTTGATTCTATTCTGGACATGATCAGTTTAATGAGAGAATATCAGGAACACGAAGAGGTTCCCATCTGTATACACTGCAGGTATGTTGTTTTTTAAATCAGGATTATTTCAGGAGTTCAGTGAGTCACAATTGGAGATATTTGAGTAGTTTTTCTTCTTGTTTATAATGTGGGAAGAGCATTTTCTGCTCCTTTTAATATTTTTAAAGAGTGATACACTGAAAAAAATCAAGTTCTACATATAAATCAAAGGAATATAAATTAAGTTTTATTAGCTGGGTGCCTTGGAAGGCCACAAAATTAGAAACATTTTTGGCAATCGATTTGTTGGACAGTTCGTATGTATTTTCTACCTATTTTATCCTTTGATAGTAATTACTTTATAAGAGTAATTGATAGCAATTACTTGATAAGGCGAGACGAGTGGCTAGAAGAGAAAGGGTGCCTTTATATAATTTGTGTGTGTGTGCCAGTTGAATGGTTCTTTTATATGTTTCCAGTTACTTTAAAAGCCATTTTTTAAAATGCGTATTTGTTTGGCTTGCAGCTTGTTTCAATTGTGAAAGGCTTAAGTGGCATTCTTCCCAACCGTATTAAATAAATTGAGCTAAAAACAATACAGTATAAATTAAGAAATAGTCACATAATACAGCAGGGGTGTCAAACTGGATTTTTTGGATTTTTTGGATCAGCATTGTAGTTGTCCTTCGTGGGCCGGCCGGGGGGAGGAACGGAGAGATGGGGTGACTGGCCTCCTGCAGCATCATGCCGGCCAAAATGGGGCGTGGGGGGGCACAGGTGGGGCTGGGGGCAGCCCTACCCATTTTCACTAGCCGAGGCACCGCGGGCCGGTCCTTTGCTATTTCCAGGCCAGTCCTGTGAGCCAGATGCAGCCCACAAGTCTTTAAGTTTGACACCCCTTTAATACAGGGTAGTATAGACTTAGAAGAATCACCAAACCTCAGTACGAGCCAATTTGGCCTGGTGGTTAAGACACCAGGCTAGGGACCAGGGAACAATGAGTTTGATTCCCGCCTTAGGCATGTGAATGGCTTGGGTGACTTTGAGCCAGTCACCAGGAGACGGTGAGTTCTAGTCCTGTTTTGGTTTGCCGGGCAGCCTGTGCAGACAGCAGTGGAATTGGGACAGTGGGGAAGAACAGGGACCAATCTGAGAGTCTGGAGAGGACTCGGATGAGGGTCCTGCGTCTGATACAGAGATGGGACCAGGGCCATCTGGGAGTAGGGTGCTGACTCCAGAGTCTGGCAGCAGTGAGGCAGAGGACCCAGGGGAGCCTGTTCTCAGTGCATGTATGCACAGAGCTGCTAGAAGGCAAGAGCAGCTGAGACAAAAGGGGCGACTCGGGAGTAAGGCTTGGAGGTGATTGCCCCTCCCCTAAGGTATAAAGGAGGTGCAAAGGTAGAGAAATCTTTGCAGGAAGCAAAGTTGTTGCTTGATACTTCGGTTGGTTTTTTTACAGTTCATTTGGCACTCTAGTATCTCGAGGGACTGTTTGGGACTCATTACAGGCTGGGAATGCACATAATTCCCAGCGTTGAAATAACACAAGAGTTGTTTTAACTAAGCGTTGCTTAATTACGGTCTCCGGAAGCCTTGGTCAGAACAAGTTCCACCTCTGGCATGCTGGAGACTTTGAGAGAGACCAGTCGCTCTCTCTCAGCCCAACCCACCTCACAAGGTTGTTGTTGTTGTGGGGGAAATCGAAGGAGGAAGGAGGAATGTTGGATATGTTGTCTGCCTTCAATTATTTGTAAAAGTAAGAAAGGCGGCATAGAAATAAATATTTTTTTTAAAAAAAGACAGAGGGTACAAGCTCATCACATTCCAACTCCCAAAGAGTTGATGGAGGGCAAGTATTCCTCGACTTATAACTGTTGATTTAGTGACTTGTGGCCATTTTTCTACACTTAGGACCATTAGCAGTGATGTACATTCGGGTGTTTGACAACTGTCTCCCTCCCCACCCCCCATTTTTTTTAAAATTTAATTATAAGAATATAACACGGTGTAGCCATTCTGGCATTACAATTGTTATACATATATATAAATGTCACTTCACCATTTACAATCCTCTTATTTGATACGTTGTTTACTAATTATTCTGATCATCACAGCTACTTATGTTCCGCCCTTGCCTTCTTCTATGCCGCCACTGATAGAATTTATTCCATGCTTCATAGTACTCAGATCCCCCCTTGTTTTTTAATTTCTAGGGTTACCCTATCTGATTTCTGCACAGGCCATAATTTTCCTTATTGTCTCTGTTTCTGGCGGTATGCTTTCCTTCTTCCAGTATTACGCATATATTATTCTAGCTGCCATCAACACATGTACTATTAGATAAATTAAATCCTTCCTATATCCTTCGGATACTATTCCTAGGAGAACTTTCTCACTTTTACAACGGGTTGCAGTGTCCTGGGGTCATGGGATCGCCTCCTGACAAACTCAGCGAGGAAACCAGATTCATTCTAACAACTGCGATACTAACTGAGCAAGTGCAGCGATTGGCTCAACAACTGGGGCAGGAAACGTCGTAAAATGGGGGCAAAGATTCATGGAACAAATTTCTCCCTGAACTACAGAAATGTTGGGCCATAAGTAGTAGCCATAAGTTGAGGACGACCTTTTGTGTGTGTGAGAAAATATATATTTATACAGATAATCCTCAGCTTACAACGGTTGAGTTTAGGGACCGTTCAAAGTTAGGACGGCACTGAGAAAAAGTGACGTATGACCGTTTCTCACACTTAGGACCGTTGTGGCTTGGCAACTTGACTCGTGGTTATGATGGCCGCATGTCCCAAGTTCCCACATGATCCCCTTTTGCGACCTTCTGACAAGCAAAGTCAACGGGGAAGCCAGATTCACTTAATGACCGGGTTACTGACTTCGATTCACTTAACAGCTGTGACAGAAAAGGTCGTAAAACCAGGCAAAACTCCCTTCACAAATGTCTCACTTAGCAACATCAAATGTCGGGCTCAGTTGCCATATCTTGAGGACTACCTGTATAACTGTATATCACAAGCATGGATGCACCTAGGTTGGTACGTCTTATAGCAGTGACGGCGAACCTTTTTGTTGTGGTGTGCCAAAAGTGCATGTGTGCCAGCACCCACAATGCAATGCGCCCTGCCACCCCCATGCATGTGCATGCAACACCCCCGCCCCCTTACTTGCACTGTGCATGCGTGCCTCCCAGCTAATTTGAGGCCCATTTGAGGCCGTTTTCGCCTTCCTGGAGGTTCATGGGGAGCCTCTGGAGGCTGAAAATGGGCCCGTTTTGGCACTTCCAGTATTTCCGGAAGGCCCATTTTTCAGCCTCCCGAGGCTGCAGAGGCTTCCCTCGAGCCTCCAGGAGGGCAAAAACAGCCTCAAATGGCCTGAAAATCAACTGGGAGGAGCACACATGCGCGGTGCAGGTGAGTTTTGCTAGGGCTCGCATGCCCACACAAATGGCTCTGTGTGCCACCTGTGCCATGCGTGCCATGGGTTCGCCATCACTGTCTTATAGTTTATTTTAATAGGTTAGAATTCCATATAACAGGAATTCTCTGATAGAACAAAAACGCAATACGCTTACAAAGGGAACATGTGGATTTTTTATTTAAATCTCCATCCCATAAAGTGTATGTGCCTCTTTCCCCCCCCCCCCCTTTTTTTTTTTGTTACAGCGCAGGATGTGGAAGAACTGGAGCCATCTGTGCGATAGATTACACATGGAATTTGTTGAAAGCCGGGGTAAGGAGGCTTTAGCGCCATCAACATGCTGGAAAAAAAACTAGGCCATCTTATGCAAGTGATTAGTAGCTTTTATAGAAAAGAAGAAAAATCAGTTTTGTTACAGCCAGGGGCAAAACTTGAAAACGGTTTGGAGGAAAAGCAGACGACTTAGCTGCTGTCGGGGGAAAAAAAAAGGAAATTCTAATTGTTTGAAGTGTGCATGGGAGAGAGAGAGAGAGAGAGAGGGAGAGAGAGAAAAGAGGAGAAAGAGATGAGAGAGAGAAAGAAAGAGAGAGGCAGAGAGAGAAGAGAGACAGAGGAGACAGAAGAGAAAGATAGGAGAGAGAAAAGAAAAAGAAAGAAAAGAGAAAGAGTCGAAAAGGGAGAGAGAGGCAGAGAGAGAAGAGAGAGACAGGAGACAGAAGAGAAAGACAGGAGAGAGAATAGAGAGAGAGAAAAGAGAAAGAGGGAAAGAGAGAGAGAGAGAGAAGCAGAGAGAGAGGAGAAAGAGGCGAGAGAGAAAGATGGAAAGAGACAGAGAGGGGGAAAGAGAGAAACAGAGGCAGAGAGAGGAGAGAGAAGAGAAAGACGAGAGAGTGAGAAAAGAGAGAGAGAGAGAAAATGAAGCCATTTGTAAATGCTTGATGGAACGTAATATAAGTTATGCTGAAATGTAAGTTTCTTCAGTGGGGAAAACAAAATCTCATGTTCTGTTGCAGAAAATTCCAGAGGAATTCAACGTGTTTAATTTAATACAAGAAATGAGGACCCAAAGGCATTCTGCGGTACAGACTAAGGTAATCTTGTCTTTGGGAGCCTAAATGAACGGTGTGGCAGGATGGTTTTTGGGGGGCAACAGCGTCTTTTCGAAAGATCTAAGCTCATCCTTGTCTCTTTATCCCGCGCACATAGGAGCAGTATGAACTGGTTCATCGAGCCATAGCCCAGTTATTTGAGAAACAGTTGCAAAAATATGAGAGCTGTGCGGCGTGGAAAATTGCAGATGGCTTGGTATGTGGCTTGAGTCAGAGTTTTCTTTTCTTTTAAAATATTCTGAAACCATATCATTTCCATGAGTTGAGTTACCTTTCCTTTGTTTAGCCTGGTTTGCCTTTCCTAGTGAGCAAGCAGTTTTTGAAATGCTATGAGTGCCAGAATAAACTTCCAGCTCCGTTGGACCCGGTTAAAGCACAATTTTGAGTCCTGCATAACGTTAACCTTAATTTCCTCTTAGATTTTTTTTTTTTGACATTTCTCGTTAAGATCCTCCGCATGGCTCTTTTGAACTCGGCCTGCAGCAATTGTGTGATGTGATCTTTCTGAGACACCCAAGGTTTTGTTACTGACACAGCCAATGCTAAATAATCATCCAGTTATTTAGATGGGGGCTCTTCGAACATGGAAGCTTTCAGAGTTGTGGACTTCAACTCCCAGAATTCCCCAGCCAGGAATTCTGGGAGTTGAAGTTCACAAGTCTTAAAAGTGACCAAATTGGGATACTCCTGATTTAGATCACCCAACCTACTTATCTTACTGCTCTTTGTCTTGAAGGCCTCTTTGTGTAGAAACTGGCCTGGATACTAAACACAATCTTTAATTTGTACTTTGGGTTTTTTTGTTTTTTGTTTAAATATTTTATTAAACAAATTTATACAAATACAATAAAACCAAACATTCCACTTATCGCAACGTAAGCAAGACAGTGTTCACTCAATCTGACATCTCTCAGATTATTGTAGAATAACACTTACAGAATAACACTTAATATTCACACTTGTTCCATTAATATATAGCACAAAATTTCATCTAATTATATACTACAAACATAGTTACATATAGCATTACCAATTTCCATCATAGCTTTTTATTTGAGTTTAATTTGTACTTTGTATTGAGTAGGTCAAAATAAGACCAGGTATAGCTTTTGCCGTCCTTGCCTGGCTGCCAGTTTTCAATATTTTTTGGGGGGGAGGGACAAATTGCACATCCAGAACAAAGTTCAAAACGCACAGATCGGGTATGCTGTAATTGTCAAGGTATGTTCTGGTCTGTCTCTTTTTACTTGTGTTTGCTCCAATTTCTTAGATTCCTTTTATTTCAAAGGCAGTTGTGCAATATCCAGTTTCAGTGAGTAACACCAGCAAACCTCAGGCAGACAAAGCATTCATCGCTGCATTGGCAACGATTTGACTTTAGGAGCGACCACATGAACGAGTTCTTAATTTCCTGAATTTCTCTAGTCTGAGACATGAACAGTTGGAATTCCAAGGAAGGCTTGAGTCACAAGATAAACATGTTGATGCCATGCTAAAATTTCCCATGATGTTCTTTAATCCTAGGGAGTTTTAAAAAAAAAAAACTGAGCAATTTTTCCCGTGGCTGAGACTTTTTTTTTTCTAGAATTCCTCTGTCTCATCCACGCTGCTCCTGCATTGTTAAGTCATTTTCGCTTCTTGGCAGCAGAACAATATAAAACATACATACAGGTGTATATTTTATGTTGTTCCGCTGCCAAGAAGCAGGGTGACTCAATGACCTCAGTTGAGGCCAACGTTTTTTGTTTGCTAAATGGGATGGTTGTTTTAAGTGAACCTTGCCCCATTTTGCGACTTTTTTTGGCTATCGTTGTTTAGTGAATCACTGCCATTGTTCACTTAGCAAGACGGTTGTTGAGTGAATCTGGCTTCAGTGCAGACTTTGCTGGTCAGAAGTTTGCAGAAGGGATCATGTGACTACGGGGGGATAGCACAATGGTCATAAATGTGAAAAACAAGTTACAAGTCACTTTTCCCAGTGCTGTTATAACTTTGAGCAGTTACTAAACAAACAGTTGGAAGTCAAGGACTGCTTTATACTCAGATTTTAGTTTTAGGCCGGCCAGTCTCACCTTGTGTGGTGATGGGCAGCCTAAAACATTAATAAATATAAAATAAAATAATAAAATAAAATAGTAAAATAAAATGAAATCTTCTATCTATATATAAAAGTGAAATACCACTCATGCATCATCACAAAATTTCCAGAACTGTAAAGCCTACAAACTTGAAATTTGGAACATAGGTTCCTCTTGGCTTCTAGGGGCTCACTAAGAAAGGATTTTTTGAAAGGACCATCAGAGCATTTAGAGTATTTCCTATATTATTATTATTATTAACACACACTGATGCTAAGGAGTTCTACTTCCCACCTGAAAAGAAATCGGGTCCAAATGCAAAACACAAGCAGAGGAAAGGAGTTTCAGTTTCAGTTTCACAGCACCAAGCAGCTTTAGTACAGAACAGTTGACCTAAGCCACACCTAGGCTCCTTGCTGTCTCCTTGCTTACACAGCAAATACTGTTTCAGTTTCCAAACAGCCTTCAGCTCTCTCTCACACTGACAGGATGCTAGCCAGATGAATTCCGATGGATGCTGGTAGGCAGAGGCAAATTTCCCCCCCCCCCCCTTATTTTCCTCCCCCAAAAGTAAGCCCAACCACATAGTTTTGTAGCGAAGCACGGGTATCGAGCTAGTACAGAATAAAAACAAAATAAAATAGTAAAGTAAAATAAAATACAAAATAAAAAAAATAAAAAAATAAAACTTCCATAACATTTTGCATTCTGGTTTTGTTTCTAGAACGTTAACTTAATCTCTTGTTTGTGGGGGAGGCAGTTTAAAAGTCTTGAGTAATTAAGTTCCTCCGGCTCTTTATTCCTACGACAGAACGAAGTTAACGCCGAGAACGCCGTCGGTTCTGGAGACCTGGAGGAACAGGGTTCCCCTCCCCCGAAGCCACCTCGAACTCGCAGGTACCTTTTCAAATCAACTCTGGTTCAGTCGCTAGGGATCAACTCCATGGGGCTTCATTTCGGTTTTCCGTTGCTGCCTAAACTGGAGTCCAGGCCTTCTGCTCGGGATGGAAAGGAAGGAATGCGCCAGCCATCCTGTTGGGAAACGCCCAGGCAAGCAGGGAGCAGGGCTCCCAATAGAGGATTCTACTAGATCCCTTGTGCAGCCACAAGGGATTCAGGATTGATCCATTCCTTCCGCTCCCCCACCCAGGCTCCATAGAACCTTAGGCAACTCTAGGTAGGTTATCCTCAACTTGCGACTGCAGCTCAGCCCAACATTTCTGTTGCTAAGAGAGGTGGTTGTTAAGCGAATTTTGCCCCATTTTGTGACCTTTTCAGTGCCCCCGTTGTTAAGTGAATCACTCTACTCTCGTTAAGTGAATCATGCTGATTACCCAAATCTGGCTTCCCCCCATTTGTATCTTTGGTGGAAGGATACAAATGGAGATCAGGTGGCCATCATAAACACATAAAATGCATAAATACATAGTTGCCAAGGGCTTGAATTTTGGTCATGTGACCCATGGGGATGCTGTGACGGTCGTTAAGTGTGAAAACTTAACATCATTGGTCACTTTTTTCCAATCTCCTCGTAACTTTGAATGGTCCCTAAATGAACGATTATAACTTGAAGACTACCAGTATAGCAATAGCACTTAGACTTGTATATTGCCCCATGGTGCCGCAGGGGTTAGAATGGAGTATTGCATTCAAACTTTGCCCACTGTCAGCAGTTTGATCCTGACCGGCTCACCCTTCTGTCCTTCCGAGGTGGGTAAAATGAGGACCCAGTGTCAGAATTCCAGCGATCGCCCTTATTAAATCATGGGCCTTCAAAAAGCTTCAAAGAATGCCATATTGGCATGACCTTGATGTAGCCGATCCCGAGACACATAATTCACTGTCACCCATGACCCTGGTTTCCCCCCACCCCTCTGGGTGTATCATACTTTATATTCTCCAAGAAACACGTCTGTAGCCAAGTCATCAATCATGTTCTCCAATTAGGGATTTGCACGGTGGAAACTCCAGTCGCTTAGTATATAATCTTTGCAAGATATGCATGGAATGCACTTTCAGTTCCAAATTGTTGCACTGCTCCTTCAGACTCCTTTCCTCCCCTCCTTTCTGTTGGC